ATTGTCAAGTTGATCAACAAGATGGACAAAACCGATGTTAGTCAAGCTGTGAAGAATCAAATAGAGGCTCAAGATGAAGTCGAGACATCCACAATGCAACAGCCAGTTGAAAACGAGAACGCTCCAGCTCAAAAACTTCAAGTTTCTCCCGAAGGGCTGATTCATGTAGATCAAGTGATGACGATGATCGGTGGAACTATCAAAGACAAGTTTGAAGGAAGCTCGAAGTCACCATCAACCTTTTTCAATCCATACACACAAAGGATTGATGATCTAACGATGCCGATGGGCTATATACATCCAAAGTTTCAACAATTTGACGACAAAGGAAACCCCAAGCAACATGAGGCACACTTCGTTGATACTTGCAATGATGTAGGGACCTATGGAGATCACCTCGTCAAGCATTTCGTCCGATCGCTCAAAGACAACGCGTTTGATTGGTACATTGATTTGGGGGAAAACTCCATTGATAGTTGGAGGCACTTAGAGGAAGAATTTCTCAACCGCTTTTACAGCACGCGAAGAACAGTCATCATGATTGAGCTCACCAATTCCCGCCAATGGAAGAAGGAACCTGTCCTCGACTACATCAGCCGGTGGATAAATTTGAGCCATAATTGCAAGGATCGACTGCCTGAGACATCATCTATTGAACTGTGCATCCAAGGAATGCAATGGGGACTTCGATACATCCCTCAAGGAATTCAACCTAAAAGTTTTGAGGAGTTGGCTACTCGCGCACATGATATGGAGTTGAGCATAACTGCAAATGGAGTCAAAGAACATTCATTCCAAAAGGCGTACCAGCTCAAAGAAGAACATATTGAAGAAGAACAAGAAGATCATGAGGATGGGGGCAAGTCTTTGGAAGAAGCAACACCCTACGCAAATTCAAGTTCAAATCAACACTCCTTGACACGAGTTTAAAAGGTCTACAAATCCAAATCAAATGAAACACTCCTTAACACGAGTTTAAAAATTCTAAAAGTCCAAATCAAATGAAACACTTCTTGATACGTGTTTAAAAGGTCCACATGTCCAAATCAAATTAAGTATTTCTTGACACGAGTTAAAAAGGTCTGCATGTCCAAATCAAATCATGGCTCCTTGATACGAGCATGAACTATCTACATATCCAAACCAAATCAAGGCTCATTGATACGAGCATAAACCATCTATATATCCAAATTAAATCAAGTCTCCTTGATACGAGCATAAACTATCTATATATCCAAGTCAAGTCAAGGCTCCTCGATACGAGCATAAACTATCTATATGTCCATATCAAGTCAATGATCCTCAATACGAGCATAAACTTTCTATATGTCCAAATCCAAATCAAGGCTCCTTCATACGAACATAAACTATCTACATATTCAAATCAAGTCAAGGCTCCTTGATACGAGCATAAACTATCTACATATCCAAATCAAGTCAAAATTCCTTGATACGAGCATAAACTATCTACAAATTTAAGTCAAATGCTCCTTCAACACGAGCTTATACTACATATATTTCTCCTTGTCCACACGAGTACAAACTGTGCACGACATCCCTCAAAAGAATATATTATGAACTACGTTATGACTTGATCCCTTTATCGGGTACATAGGCAACTTAGAATCTCTCTAAGTTCAGTCATTATTTCGAAAGATGTATGTACTTTGCTAGATCAAGCTGCAATTGAAGTTGAGCGATTATCGAAACTTATTCACTCCAAGACGCATTGTCCGTGAACAAGTCTCGAGGGGGCATTTGTAGACGCATAAAATTAATTAATTGGTTAATTAAACTAGCCAATTAAATTGTGTCTAAATTAAATTAAATCTTGTCTTGCAAGACAAATCATGGAGATAAATATCAATTAATTATTGACCAATAGGATTATTTGATATTTATCTCCATGACTTGTAGACACAATTTAATTGGCTAATTTAATTAACCAATTAATTAGTTTTATGCGTCTAAGGTTTGTTCATAGACGGAGAAGGTGATGGAGAAGGGGAGGAGCACGGGGGTTTGAAGGGTGTCCTCCGGCAGCGGTGATGGAGCATTGTGGGTGGTGTTACGGTGGCGATCAGAAAGAACAACGAAGATGAACTTTTGCCCTTTCTCATAGTTTTGGTTATGGCCACTAATGAAGAAAAAAAGACCTGATTTTTCAAACTTGAATTTGGAGTCACCATCTTTCAATATTTTTATTAGATTTTCTTTGTTGCATTTTAAATAGGAATTTTCATTTACAACAAGTATCGAATCATGCCCTTTCTTGTACTTGAATACTGCATATTATTTTCAACCATATTGCAAATATTAAATTAAGAAAATATATTAATAATCTTGTCTATTGACACACATGCACATTGAAAAATTGAGAAAGGAATAAGAAACACATCAATTTCATCCTTGACCTGGAAGCGATATCATTCAGCCCAGTGAATATAGTTCTCCGAGTGCTCAAGGGTTCAACCGTCATCCTCACCAACGTAAAATTTAAGTGCATGAACTAAGTACAAAAATTCCGTTAAAATGACAAACAACAAGCTCATAGTAGAAACCACCATTGCCATATCAAGATTATTATTCCAAGGATTTGGACCCGAATTTGGAAATTAATTATATGCTGATTAAATTAGGAAGAATGGGAAAAAATAAGAAGAGAAGGTTTTGACAGTTGAAGGTGGCTGGTGTGATTTGTAATAGATGTTTTCATATATATATATATATATATATATATATATATATATATATATATATATATATATATATATATATATATATATATATATTGTAAAAATGACGTTTAAATGAAATTTATAACTACTAAAATGAGGTTGCAATTTATTATTTTGCATGACTTTTTTGACTTTTAGTTTGACTAATACTTTGATTTTTTTGTACTTCAAGAACCATTACTAGGGTACTAGTATATCTCAGTGTTATACTAATTTTGTTTTCTCAATTTTATGTAAATGATACGTTATTACATAAAAATTAAACTAGTTTGGTCCAACTAAATTCATTTCAAATTTGTATAATTGCTATCTTATCGACATAGCAATATACACTGAATTCATTTCAAATTCGTACATCGGTTTTGCCATTGATCTTCAATCATATATCCGGACTAGAGGGTATTTTAGTCTTTTACTAAATTACCAAGAATATAAATTCCTTCTTTCAACTATATTCTTTATGTTTCAAATTAACTAATGGCTTACATAATTTTTTTGTTTTATGTTATATGTCACTTTGAAATTTCAATGATGTAGTAGTTACCATTTAGTCAAGTTTGATGTTATTAGTCTTACTCTTAACTAGTTGAGAGAGAACTAATAAAATAAATCTAATGACATGAATATTTTAGTTGAACTATTTTTATTTAAAAGTTAGATAATTTTATTAGATTTTTTAATATATACGCCGCAACACAAAATAATATTTATTTGGAATGAGCATAGTAAATATTAGTAGATTCTACTTAAAAGTTAGGTAAATTTATTAGACTTTTTAATATATACGCAGCAACCAAAAATGATATCTATTTTGGAATGAACAATGTAAATATTTGTAGATTTTAAGACATACGGCTCATGTTGATTTTCAATTTTTGCACTTTCCCCCAATAAAATTCAAAAAGGAGATTTTCTTCCCCTTCAAAATATTGTTATAATTGCACTTTGTCACAAATGGAACTTTTTGGCGTACTTTTCATCGTTATTTTCATATCTCTGTCAACTTGAAGGGAATTTTTATCCTTTTATCAATCTCATTTAAATATTAATATCGTTGAAAACTCGGATACTGAGATGGTGGGTTCTATGTTTGCTGTGGCATCAATATCAATCCAAGCTATAAAGTGCTGGATCTTTCGCCTTGGAAATCGAGTTTTTCAGAGTAGTTGAACATCGGCATAAAATGCAATGGCGCCTGGTTTGAAATCTGCAGCCACCGCCGTGGGAGTTGGCGAACGTCTACATCCGGCCTGCATCAGGTGGACCGGAGGATTAGGGGGTGTTGTCGCCGCCTGCGGCTGCGGTCACAAGGAGCATTAATTAGAATGTGTTGTCGGAAACGGCGGTGGGCGGCATCATATTGGCGTGCCTCATTAAGCTTCCCGTAGATTGATCTGTGGCCACCGGCTGCTAGGAATGAAGCGCGGATTTCGACGGCGGAGCCGACAGAGTTGAGTTGCTTCTGAGAGAGATGTTTAGAGAGGAGACATTGGGCGGAATTGTGCCAGTACTAGTGGTTGCTATAATATTTGGGTGGGATTGGTAAAAGGGCAAAATGCTCTTCAAGTTGACGGAGATATGAAAAATTGGTGAAAAATACACCGAAAAGTCCCATTTGGGGCAAAGTGCAACTATAATAAATTGAAGATGGGGGAGAGTCTCATTTTGGAAGTTGTGGGGGAGTAAAAAATAGAAAGTTGTAGGAAACGAAGTGCATTTTGTCCTAAAAATAAAATCATAATTGGGTAACCGCTTTGTACTGCTATATATAATAAATAACACATGATCTAATTTTAGAAATATATATCGATAACATTCGTAAACTATCTTGCGCACATAAATTCAAAATGTGACATATGCGTATAATATAAAAAAAAAATTACTGATACATGCTAGCTTACACGTACCATCTATAATTAGAGCAGGGATCGAAGCCGTAATTATACTTTGCATTATCAAATGAGACACAAAAGAATTTATGTGTTAATAAATATGAATCTAAAACACTAGGGGTCCATTTGGATGGAGGGATTTGGGGAGGGATTTGATTTGAGGAATGGATTTGAAATGACTCCAATTTTGGAGTCATTTGAAATCCATCACTATTGCTCCAAAATCAACTAAAAATGAGGGGTGGGGATTTGAAATCCATCTCCAAATCCCTCAATCCAAACAAGTCCGAGGGATTTGTTATTATGGATTTGAAATCCCTCCCCCAAATCCCTCCATCCAAATGCACCCTAGGAGTTGTTGAGCAATTTCAATGACCATTATTCTTAACAAGAAAATCAATTGTATTTCTTTTCTTCTTCTCAATTTTCCATGCGTGATTGATTGAATAACACGTCACACCATGTAGTTACGATAACAATGATCACTCCAAATATAACAACAAATTGTCACTTTGTTATTTATACGTGTGTTAATAAAAACAAATTATAAAATTAACACGCAATCAAAGGTAAAACTCAATATGAAAACTAAAATAGATATTTAAAATACTTGCATGTGTTTTTAAAGGAAATAGTTGCAGTATCTTCTAAAAAAAAAAAAAAAATTGCTATAGAGTAGAGGGGATTTTAATCACTTAAATTGAAGCAAGAATTAAAAAAGAAATACAAAAATTTGAAATCAAAGTTCAAAATAAATCCAACATAAAAAACAAAAAGAAAGAAAAAATTGAACCAGAGCATAGTGGTTATGATGTAGGTCCGTCTAAAGTGCGCCGTCTGTGTTTCTTTGGCGATTCAGCTTTAGTAGATGGTGGTGGCGAATGTTTGTGCGAAGATGGTGATGGCGAACGAGATGGTGGAATGTGTGTAGTAGATTCGGCCGCCGGAGAAGGGGCTGGAGAGTTAGAATGTGGTTGCGTTGGCGGCGCGTGTAAAGGGGTTTTGGCTGCTGGTGAAGGGGTCGGTGAGTGGTGAGTAATAGGAGCTGGGGCCGCCGGAGATGGGGATGGCAAATGAGATGGTGGCTTGACCGGCGGCGCGTGGGTGGGAGATTTAGCTACTGGGGAAGGGCTTGGTGAGTGGTGAGTAATTGGTGTTGGGGCCGCCGGAGATGGGGATGGAGAATGAGATGGCGGCTTGACCGGCGGCGCGTGGTAGGTGGGAGATTTAGCAGCTGGGGAAGGGCTTGGCGAATGGTGAGTAATGGGTGCTGGAGCCGCCGAATATGGAGATGGTGTATGAGAGGGTGGCTTGACCGGCGGCGCGTGGGTGGGAGATTTAGCTGCCGGTGAAGGAGTTGGTGAGTGATGAGTAATCGGAGCTGAGGTTGGAGGTTTGTTCATAGACGGAAAAGGTGATGGAGAAGGAGAGTGGGACGGTGGTTTGAGGGGTGTCTCCGGCGTCGGCGATGGAGCATTATGGGTGGTGTTGCGGTGGCGATCGGAAAGAACAACGACAATGAACTTCTCCCCCTTCTCACAATTTTGGTTATGGCCACTAATGAAGAAAAAAGGGCCTGATTTCTCAAACTTGAGTTTGGAGTCACCATCTTTCAATATTTTTATTGGATTTTCTTTGTTGCATTTTGAATAGTCATTTTCATTTACAACAAGTACCGAATCATGCCCTTTCTTGTACTTGAATACTGCATTTTATTAACAACAAAATGTGGATTAATAGTAAATAATAAAATGAGAAAATAATATATAATTAGTTATCCTTGGATAAATATATTGCTCTAAATTAAAACCCTAGAATTTTAATTTATACCAATTAAAATATATTAATCCATCTTCTTTATTCATACACATTCACATTGAAATAATGGAGGAAAATAAGAAATGTACCTATTTCATCGTTGATTTGAAAGCGATATCGTTCAGCCCAGTGAATATAGTTCTCCGATGGCTTAAGGGTCCAACCGTCATCTCCACCGACATAAAATTGAATTGCATGAACTAAGCACAAAAACTCCATTAAAATCACAAACAACAAAATCATAATAGATGAAGAAACCGCCATTGCAATAACAAGAACTCAATGATTTGGAGCCCTAAAGAAATTAATTTTGGGAAGAAAGGAAAGAAGAAGAAGAGAAGGATTTGAAAGTTGAAGATGGTGATTTAATTTGTAATACATTTCTAGCTATATATAGTGGTTGAAAAGGACGTGTAAATAGAATTATTTCTATTAAATTGAGTTATGGTTGAAATTTATTGCATGACTTTTGACTAGGTTAATAGTTTGAATAGTACTTTGAATTTTTATACTTGAAGAACCATCACTAGTTTATATTATAGGCGTTACAGTCAGTTTTTTTTTTTTTCTTTACTTTTGCATTAGATGTTGTTTAAATCTGGAAGACCACTTTTTATGTTTGATGCAAACACTTTTCCGGTCTGATGCTACACACGGACATACATCGGGTGATCTTGAACTGTAGATCTATATAAGTATCTTATAACCTGTAATTACTACACACGTACATATGGATATGTGTGTTATTATGTGTATCTGATATATTTTCCAGAGAGATAAGAAGATGGCAGGCTCGTTCCTGGGAATTCGGGGGCCCTAGGCGAGGTTTAAAGAATAACTGAAAACAGGGGGCCCTATTTGATGAACCATTTTTATTATTAATGGGTGTTCGAAATTGAATGTAGTAAAAAAAATATTTTATATTTTTTTCTAAAAATGAAGAAAATTAAGATTTTGGGGGTTCGGGAACAGTGCCCCCGGAATATTTTTTGAAATGTATGAATATAAAGTAATTAAAAATATGGACAAAAATTTAAAATTGAGAATATGATTTGGTGGTTCACTTCCTCCAGTAACATAAAATTTTTATAGCAATAGACTTCAAAAATATTTATAAACTTGAATACACTAATAAATATTGATTCTTATTTTAGAATAAAAATAAGTTATCAAGACATTATAAATTAATATTTAGGGGCCCCAAAATTAAGAAAATTTTAAAAATATCTATTGATCATTTAGTTTAAATTTATTTTAGAACCGATGTTCCAAAATATTATATATAATAAATTTTTAAAAATAATTACTAATATATAAAGTGTATATAAAATAATTTGGGGGCCCCAAATTTTCGAAAAAACTCGGGGGCCTAGGCGACCGCCTACTTCGCCTCCCCTCAGAACCGGCCCTGGAAGATGGTTTTGGAAAAGGGGTCATTAGCAATACACCCCTCCTATAGATAAAAACTAGTGATATGTCCATACTATAATTCTTCCTTTGTGAAAACCCCCTAGAATATTTAATTCCCATCTTACCCCTATAGCATCTCACGTTTATTGTTTATACTTTATATTTATATATTATTTTCAAAATCCCTATTAATTTGCTTCCAAATTCCTATAAATTTGCTACCAAATTCCTATAAATTTGTTTCCAAATTCCTATAAATTTGCTACCAAATTCCTAAAAATCTACTTCCAAATTCCTATAAATTTGCTACCAAATCAAAAAAATGTTTTTTTTTTAATTTTTTTAATTTTTTATTATTTTCGGATTTTATAGTCATTTTTTAATTTATTTTTATTTTTTTAATATTTTTTTTAATAAAAAATATTTTTTTTTAATAAAAAATATTTTTTTTTTAATTTTTTTTTTAAACAAAAAATTGAATTTTTTTTTCTCGACAGATTTACAACTCCGAATATGACTATAGTTGAATATGACTATTATGTGACTACGCTGTGTATAACAGTGTAATTAACATATTGTAGAAGCATAATTATTAAGATAACAGTAAGAATATGACTATTATGTGAATGTGACTGTGTTTTGTAAAACATTATAATTAACATACAGTAGAAGCATGATTCTTAACAAAAACAACGAAAATATGACTATTATGTGACTACGGTTTGTATAACAGTGACTGAACATGACAATGGGAATATGACTATTATGTGACTAGGTTCTGCGTAATGTGACTACAAGTAATCAGCACTTGAAAAAACTTGCAATATTAATAGCAAAATACATTGCAAAAAGAAAATAAATGACTAAAAAAACAAAAACAACTAACGTGATCCCCATCGAACATGTTTTTTTGTTGCGGTATCCAACTCGGTTGCACCGACTGCAATTAATCTTCCGTTTGATCATCTCTGTTAAATATGACTACAGTGTTGAACATATGCAGCACTAAAAAAAAAGGAGGAGGTGGCGGCCACGAACGGCGACAGTGATAGTTGTGTACAAATCTAACCCGAAACCCGTACAACATGAAACACGAAAAAAAATATAAATCACAACTCTTATCATGCCAGCCAATCCGCAACTGTCAATACATACAAATGCATAGAAACATGCTCTAGGATACGAAAAAGCAAAAACTCACAAAAATTAATAAAATGCATGATAATTGAAATCTACGCATTCATAACAAACCAAATAATATAATTATTGTAAAACATTGTAGAAAAGAAAACATTGTTGTAGAAAAAAAAACGAAAGTAACTATTAAAACAAACTTTTAGCTTAAGAACATCACTGACCATCAACCAAACAACTCGTTTTTTTTCGGCATTAGGATTATAATTTGTGGGAATACCGATTTACTCATTTAGTTCATCCTTGTATTAGGTACTCGAGAATCTATTGTTCAATTTTTTTCTTAATTTTCATGCTATTATAACCATTTTACTAAAGAAAAATTAAAATAAAATAAACTAATATAACTAAAAATACAGATCCACAACAAGTTTTACAGCTATTAATTCGAGAAAAAAAACTTATACCGATTAACTTGTAGATATTCAGCAATTGCGGTTTTGGCAAAGGACGGCGGCAGCGATTTCGACGGAGGGCGGCGGTTGTGGTGAGAACATGGGCGGCGTCGGGTAATTTCTAGATCTCCATCGGTGTCCTGCCGCTAGTCCTTTGAATCCTTTTTCATCTGTGATTGTCGATTCCTGCCGCCGGAATTTTCTGTTGCCTCCCCGATTTTTTAGTGGTGGAAATATTAGATCTAGGATTTGGGAGGATGAAGAACAGAGAAAAGAGAAAAAAAATCAGATGAGAAACGAGAAACGAGAATGGCGATTGGGAGCGGAAGAAAAAATAATTAGGATTTAGGGTTATTTTGATTGAGGGTACTTTTGTCTTATCACATAGGTCTAGGGGGGTTTCACAAATTAAAACTGAGATTTGGGTGTAGGCAAAAGTCTTTAAAGTCAATTGGGTTTAGTTCAATATATTTCCCATATGAGGGGGCTATTGCATATTTCCCTTTGGAAGGGGAAAATATAATGTTAAATATTCTTCTTGAAACTAAATTTAGTCTAACTCTCTGATTGATGATAGTTGATATATTTTCTGCATTTTTTTTTATGTTCATATTCGCATTCGGCACTTTTATATTTATTCTAACTGTTGAAAAATTCTTCGTATTTTTATTAGTAAAAATCCCGACATCATTTCATTATTTTTGCAATATTCCCCTAAACCCACGGTGTAAAAAGTTGCATGTTCGGAAATGCATCATATCGGGAATTTTGTTCATGTTCATAGCACGGTGAGTTTTGTTAACAAATTCAACATAACACCGAGTTGTTTTTTTAAAATTCACCTAGTTATACTATCAGTAATAAAAAAAATTAAAAAAATTAAAAAAAAATAAAAAAAAAAATTAGAACACCTACACACTAAAAATGCGAAATGACAAAACATAGAACATTATATTGTTGATTTAACCCCAATATCACTATATTCTTACAATTTCGTCCAAATAATATTAAATGTACTAAAAATGTGAAATGAGAAAACATAAAACATTATATTTTACTCACAAACTAGTAATTCACCCGTGCGATGCACGAGATCAATTTTTGTTTTAAAATTATTTTAGATAAAATAAAACGAACGAAAACTTTGAACAGTTGACATACATGTAAATAATACCCAAAAAAAATATTTTATTGAGTTAAAATATACATTTGTTTGTGATTTACCTTCATATTCGCTGAAAATCTTTTGTGCACACAACATTGCTCGTAAAGTTAGTTATATCGCCCGATTCTGAGTTTATAAATATCTTTATCTCAAATCTACAATTAACTCTGGACATTGCGGCGTGCAATTGCCTATGCCACCCTAATATTGACACTAACAACAACTACTAATATGAATACTAAACTGACATTGATAATACTATAATAACAATACTAATATTAATGCTAAAAATTAACACTAATAATACTAATATTAATACTAATCCTAATATTAATACGATGATTAATACTAATAGTCTAATACTAATATTAATATCACCATTACTATTAACCAACCCTCATTAGGAGAGTTGGTACCTAGCATTTACCAATGGGTAAAGGTCTAGGATTCGAGTCCCCTCCTCCCCTACTTCCGTTTGTAATGGACTTGAATTTACTCAAAAAAAATAAAAAATCAACACTACTATTAATAATAATACGCCAATTCTAATACGAATATTTAATGTTTAAACTAATACGCCAATACTAATACGAACACTAATACTCATACTAATACTAATACTAATATTAAGACTAATGCTAATGTTCATGCTAATATGTCAAGACAAATATGAATTTGAATACTAATAATAATACTAATAATGAGAATAATAATGATAATAATATTGATATTGATATTGATACTGCTACTAATATTAATATTGATACTAATATTAATTCACATATTGATACACATATACATATTGACACTCATACCGATACCGATACTGATAGTAATACTCATACTAATACTATTATTAATACTAATAATAATACCAATATAAATAATGATAATAATACTGATATTGATATTGATACTACTACTGATATTAATTAATATTGATACTAATATTAATACACATACTTATACACATACACATATTATTACTTATACCGATATCGTACTGATACTAATAGTACTCATACTAATAATATTATTAATACTAATACCAATATTAATATTCATACCAATACTTATACATATATTATTACTGATACTGATACAGATACTGATATTCATACTCATACTCATACTCATATTGGTGTTGTTATTGATAATGATACTAATAATGATAATGATACTGATACTGATAT